TGAATATGTATTATGTTTTGATTATCTAAAGTTTTGTATGTAATACTTTATAAAATCTTTTCTTTAAATAAATATTTTGGTATAATAAAAATGATCGGAGAATATACATGTCCATTTTATCATAACTCTGGTGAAGTTTGTGGAAAAACTTGTATGAGAGCTGAGGGATGTAGTTATCATAGGAAAGCTAAAAAAAGAATTCCTTGTATTGAATGTGATAAGCCAACTGGTTTAACTTCTGAACGATGTCCTTTGTATATTAGGGGATACTATGTGGTTCAATACTATAATAGATTACGCATTAGGGCTTCAAAATTAGATTCTTGATATGTGAAAAACCTGACACAAATTTTAGTAAACCTAGTATATAGTCAAAATTTTTTATTAGACTTTTTCATTAGACTTTCAACATATGTATAAATTTTTATTAGACTTAGCATATATATATCAAAATTTTTATTAGATTTAGTATATATATGGTTGGTGTGTGGTGTAAAAAATAAAATGTACGTCATTTTTAATTAGGTTTTGTGTACCAGAAAAGTAGTGAAGATTCGTCTTTAAATTGAATTCTGCTATATCAATTAGTATTGGTATGTAATTTAGGCTTAATTCACATTTGAGAAGGGATCAGAATATTTATTAAATTCATATTCTTCACCGTTTCTCTTGAACTTTTTTAATAGCAAGCTGTATATTATAAATAATTGTTATCTTTTTTTATATGAATTTGGATAATTGAATGTGTTCTAGATATATAAAAATTAATATACTTTTGATATGAAAATGTGACTAAAAAAATAAATCACGTCATATACTTGAGGCAAAAAAAATTAAATTATGCCACATACTTGGGGTGGTATAGTTGTTGGCTTTCCTGTGTGGTGAAAAAAACAATTTGATGTACAAAAATTCATATGCTTGGTGATGTTTTTGAGGTGTGAAATATAGCAAGTTGACTAGTGCTGGGTCAGAACACCTATTTTAACCCTACTAGTGTTCTTGACAGTGTTTCTGCCAATGTTCTTGACAGTAACCTTGACACTGATCTTGACATTAATTTTGACAATATCTTTGACAGTGTAACAGATCGCTACATTGATTGATCTACTTAGTGTAACATCTCTAATACAATATACTAATAATAATATAACTATATATAACTAAATAACTAAATAATGCAAATAAATAATAAATAATATTAACAATATAAGATATAATAATAAAGTAAGAAAAATAATATAACTATTTAATCGGAAGAAAACCAAGGGTAACAGTTTTTCCCCTTCTAAATTTCAAAGTTCCTTTTGGAACTTTCCTTAAACTCACACATCTCTTTAAATTGTCGATTATTTAAATGAGCAATTTTTCTAAATGTTATTTCTTGAGTATAATAAATTTGATCAGGATTTGTCAAGAATAGTTGATATACTCGGGTTACTCCATTATAAATAAACTTCTCATTTAAAATAAACTTTTGACGGACAAATTCCATCCATTTAGTACGAGGAGTAACAGACGATTCAATAAGTTTTCCCATGTAAAATGCATATACTAATGCATTAATTCGTTGTTTTTGTTGCGAAGCTCGTTGAGTGGCATTGTAGACTTTAATCATAGCTTCATACCAAGTTTCATTAGGTAGATACGGATATTCAATAGGCTGAATAGGATATAATCCAACCATAATTAGGTCAAGTTTTAATAGGGCTACTTGTTGATTATCCATGGTAAAATTTGTAATTTTTAGGGGTTCAAGTCCTTTTTATTAAATTTGAAATTACGCACAGATCAATTGTAACTTGTTTTGAGGAGACTGGTTTCAAATTTCAATTTGAGGTTACCAAGTAGTACGTGATAAATAAGGTTTGAGTTGATCAGCATGTACTACTTCTTTTAGAGATTGTCCAAATTGATTATGTAGCACATAAGCTCTTTTATCCAAACATTTGTGTACTTTAAATGGTCCTTTCCATTTTGTGTCCAGTTTGCCAGATCATTGTTTATCTAATTTGGAATCATATATTAGAACTAGATCACCAGGTTGGTATCGAATTATTTTTGTAAATTTTGTAGCATGTCGTGCTTTCTGTTGTTTTTGAAATTTCCTAACATTACTATGGGCGATTTCGTGTTGTTTTAGTAACTGATTAATCAAATCAAAAGCTCGTTGTATAATAGTATTTTCAAGGTCAAATTTAGCATTATAGTTATTCCCAGTTACTTCAACTGGTAATTTTGTTTCTCATCCATATAATAAAAAGAATGGGGTAAATCTTGTTGTATTGTGTTTATGAATTCGATAGGCAAATAACACAGCAGGTATATATTCATCCCAATTCATGATATCTCTCAATTTTCCTAATGCAATTCCTAAGGTCCTGTTTAATCATTTCACCATACCGTTGGTTTGCGGATGGTAGGGAGAAGAAAATCGATGTTGTATTTTAAATTTATCATATAGGTGTTTAATTATTTGATTTTTAAAATGTGTTCCATGGTCAGATAGGATTGTTTGAGGTGTACCATAGCAACAAATAATATCGTCATATATGAAATCAGCTACAGTTTCAGCACTGGCTGTAGAGAGAGCTCGGGCTTCAGGCCACTTAATTAAATAATCGATTGCTACTACAATATATCTATTTCCTCGTGCTGTTCGAGATAAAGGTTCAACTATATCAATACCTATTCGTTCAAATGGTTGTCCTACAGGAATAGGATATAAAGGCTCAGTTCGTATTAGTTGTCTAAACCTTTGACAATTATCACAAGTAGATACATAAGCTTTAATGTCCTTATACATTTGAGACCAATAATATTTGTCTTTTAGTCGTTAAAATGTTGCGTCAGTTCCCAAATGTCCTGAGGTAGGATGACTGTGCCTTATATCAAGTAGAGGTTCCAATTCTCCTCTAGTTATTACTTTTATTAATTGGGTATTTAGTTTTCGAGACTTTTTAAATAACTGATTGTTTGAAATTGTAAAATGTTGAGATTGAGAAAGTAATTGTTTACGATCTCGTGGTGAGATATTTGAGGGGTATTGTTGAGTGTTTAAATAAGAATATATTTTGATATTGAGTTAAATCCATTTTTTGCTAGGACACCGACTACCTAGAC